AAAAATAATAAGATGGGTTTGATTTAAGATCTTAAAATCAAGGTTATCTTATCTTATCATAAATCTTTTAATCATAAAATGTTATCATTACAATTATATTTGGTTGCTGAATGGAATGCAAACAAAAATTTCGAAAAATAAAAAGATGGGTTTGATTTAAGATCTTAAAATCAAGGTTATCTTATCTTATCATAAATCTTTTAATCATAAAATGTTATCATTACAATTATATTTGGTTGCTGAATGGAATGCAAACAAAAATTTCGAAAAAATGGAAAATTTTTTAAAAGTACTGAAATAGAAATCATATGAATAAAGGTTTTAAATCGAAATATTTATCATCAAATATGAAAAATCGGAACAAATGTAATAATTGTATACGAAAATAAAAATTTTGAATTATCCTTAAAATTGTTAATTGAAAAACAAAAAATAATAATTAAAAAAAAACTGCAAATGTATTTATCAATGCTTTAAACGAATCTAATAATTAAAAGCATTAATGAACCATTCAAAATACTATATTTGGATTAAATACAATTATTTTAGTATTATATTTGAGTACATTGAAGCATAAATGAATGTAGTCATAAAATACGAAATTCGGAAAGAAATCCGGTATTTTAGATTCGGAATTTTTTCCAAATCATTCATTTTTTTAATATCCACTTAAATATGACAAAATAAATGATTTTACTCTAATTCAGTTACTTTATTGGCATTCTAAAAGTTACAGATATTGTCAATTGATCTTATACCTTTCTAATGATGTCACTGTTGTCATGGTGAAAAGTAATGGAATAAACAGAGAGGTATCGTTGTTCTTGATTCTGTTGGTGGATCGATAATTTAGAGTAAAGAGAGAAAAATGGATGATCGTTATGAAGGTTTTAACGATTATGATCATGCATATGATATTCAGGTAATATACTTTATCAAATACTTTTAATACTTACTTATTTAAATTATAATTAGTTATTAGTTCAACGAAGAAGCTTCTTATTTTAATAATTAATAAATGTTATTAATTTAAACAAATAAGGAATTTCGATTTTAAGATTTAAGATTTAAAAAAAAAGATTGCATTTTTAAAAGTTTTGAAAAGTTTGAAGATTTAAAAAAAAGTCAATAAATTTGATAAATAAGATTTTAAAAAATCAATAAATTTGCAGAATGTTCTTGACGATCAAGTTTTCCAAGATGCTGTAGCTAAATCAAGTTATGGTAGACGACCGGTATCAATTACTGTTTTTCTTTTTTTTCTTCCTTTTCTCTCTCTCTCTCTCTCTCCTATCTTTCTCTTTTCTCTTCTATCCTTAATTTTTTATATCTCAAATTATTTATAAAATACTATAAATTATTCCTTATCTCATGAGAAATAAATTTGGGAAAGAAAAAATTGCTTTGAACTTTGAACTTTAAATTAATTAAAATTGCCTTAAATTAAAAAATTTTTTGGTATAGTGTTGAAATATTTTTAAGAAAATTTTCAGAGAAGTTCAATGTCACGTTTGGGAATTATACCTGTTACAACACCTATCATCCGTGTTAAAAGCTTAGTAACAAATCATAGATCCGGTACTGATACGATGAGTGGTGGTGGTGTTATGTTACGATCATCTATTGGTTCACGACATGGAATTGAACCAAGCGTACCGATGACCGCCGTACGAGGTGCTGGCTATTCATCAGCCGGTCGTGGTACGTAACGTTTTAAACGTAAAATGCTATTAGAATCTCTTCAACACATATCAAATTAAACTCGAAAACTTTTCACCAAAATTTATCTTTCGAACTTTTGCGTTTTTCCTTTTTCTTTCACCAACAATAAGTTTATATGGTGAATGATACATTATTGATTGATCCTCTTTAGGGATTTCTTTCAATCCATTAAAGATGAGCATGACAGAAAAACCACCCGAGAAAAGTAATGAAGAAAAATGTCGTCAAATGGAGCAAAAAGTAAATGAGCTCTTGAAAGAAGTATTTTTGCATGGGAAAAAGGCGACATGAAGCAGGTTGTTACTATTATTACTATTGTTATTATTAGTATTATCATTATTACTATCATTGC